ACCTACGTACGTAACCGTACGACTTACTTACCTCCGTACTAGTAGTAAGTAGTACTCTACTAACGTACTACCTACTATATTACTAGTGTTTCTCTCTCTCTCTCTCTCTCTCTCTCTCTCTCTCTCTCTCTCTCTTACACCCTCACACACAAATTTTCATTGTTTTTGCTTGGTTCTGGTTTTGCAATTTTCTGGAGGGAGTCAACCTGTGAATCATTTGTTCAACTCGTGTACGATGAATGCTCCTAGGGTTGCGCATAATTAATGTGAAGCCTGGGATTGCACATAATTCATGTGAAGGTTTCCATCCTGGCTTGAAACAATTGCGATTCAGAGGAACGTGGTGGGTATGGGAGTTGTGATTATGTTTGCTAATGCAGTACAGCGACATTTTCAAGGCTAATTGAGGTTTTCCTAGTTATCTTTTAAAAAGTGTAAAAAACGAAGGAAAGAAGCAGTAGTGTACTTTTTAGTCGATGTCTTTTCCCAACTAATCGAAGTCGGCTTTGATGGATTAGTATTACTCTTGTTGGATGGCATCCCATTGGCATCATTTCTGCGGGGAGAGAGAGAGAGAGAGCAATTTATGTGGAAATTATAGAAAAGCAAATATCCTTTAGTAGCTTTGGGAGCAATTTGTGGAGTTTTTTAAAGAACGGGGTAGTGAACTGAAGTTCAAGTAATGAATACCAGGACCTAACCAATCATTGCCCTAAGATATTCATAAGGTCCATTATTAAAGAACCTTTCACAAGTGGTACGCTCAAACTATAAGCATACGGTTCTAGTTGGGCATGACTCTAGGCTCAAGTCGACTAGGCTCAATTTTCTTTCACATTTCTTTTCTCTTTATTTTATGGGACCGACATTGTTTTATGGGGGCAGGTTTTTTCTCTCTCTTTTTCTTGATCTTTTTCTTTTCGTCTTCTTCTTTTTTTTTCTTTTCTTTTCGTTGTTTTTTTTTTTTTTTTTTTTTTTGAACATTAACAAAGTGCTTACTCATAAATAAACGGATTACAAGAAGAAGTGGGAGAACAATGATTAAGTGAAGGTCATTACTACGAACGATGATTGGTGTACACCCTTTGCACGAGAATTTGCCTCTCTAAAATCATAGTGCAGCGAGACTAGAATACCAGAACAAGAGAGTTTTAATTTCATTAAAAAAAAAGGTAACCAGTCTCCATGGTGGGTTTACGTACCCTTTAGCCCAAGCCATGACATTGATTGAATCCCCATTAATAAGCTTCAGACCTCATAGCAACTCCTTGTGATATGCCTGTTATAACCAAGGGGTCCAAGTAGGAAATAATTAGGTTTCCCCTATGATCTCTAGACTCCAATGAGTCCACCGAAACCAGTAGGACCAGGATTCCCAAAGGCACTACCTTCGAAATGTAGCTTAAAACAATCCAAAGGTAAAGGAGACAATAAAACGTGCCTTCTCTGATTTTCGTGGTGAGATTTACAATAATCTAGTTCTTATAAATGAATTTGCAATTCCTGTGAATCGAAGTCCAATCAGCAGTCATGGCTAGGATATTAAATTTAAGTACGCCAATATCCACATGAGCCTCTTCAAAAGTCCTTCTATTGCATTCCACATAAAACTATCCCAAATGGATCTCCATACAACCATCCCTTAATTTTGAGATGCCGCGGTTCATCCACTGTGTAGAGCAACATCCATTTTGAGGTGTAAGAATTTGCAAAGTGAGCAATTGTCTACTACAACTCCTAACTCCTTCACGAAGGGCAGATGAAGAAGGATATGCTCCACAAATTTATTGTTTTCCTTACACAATAGACAAACATTAATGAAAATGAAACCGCTTTTCCTAAGGTTGTTTATGGTTGCCAACTTAATTTGACAAGCAACCTATAGAAACAATTGTACTTTCAGTGGAATATGCATACTCTAAACTTTAGAAAGACCTAGTCCAAAATTCTATTTCGGTCGTCGTAAAGAAATTTATATACTGATTTAACAGTAAAGTCTCATGAAGGATTCAGGTCCCAAATTAAGGTTGAGTTTTTCTCTCTAAAATGAAAGGTGGAGTTTGGGTTTCTCTCTCTTTTCCTTTCTTCTAGACCCTCTCTCCCCTCAAAAGACCATCGCAGCTCTCCCTCATAGATGATGAGGGAAGCCTCTTATCATGCATGCCCTTATTTATGAGGAGAACCAAATGCTTACCCCTGGGTGCACCCATTAAAGACACAACCTAATGCTTGTGTCCCACTTATAGTGTGGGTTGGGGGCAATAACTAATGAGAGACTTTTCTTAATTACAATATAGTATTGCATTTCGAATACTCTTTTATACAATAAGAAAATACAGTGTGTGACCTATTTGAGCAATGTGTGTAGAGAATCATATCCAGTTACTAACCGGCCGGTATAAAATACCTCATCTCTCCTACAAAAGAATGCATAAATAGATCCATTTGCCTTGAACCCGATTTGACTATACTGGACCGAGTTCCTAACAAATCATTCATAAGTCAAGATTGAGAGATAACTTGCTTCACATTCAATTATGCTCAATATGCACGCAATGTGTACTCATGTGCCTAAGTGGGATGTCATGTCAAATGGTTTACCCTTGTGACCTACATTATTCCACCCTCGGAGGACTATTATTTTCAATAGTGTCCTAGTTGAGTCTTGTGTTTGTGAAAACGCTTCTCACACAATGGTAAAAAGGAATATGGATCATCTTTTTTTTTACCTATGTAGGTGTTTGATCATCAATATGGCATATATAGTATGAATTGCATATCGTGGTGGATGACATAAAATGCAAGTTGGACTTCATATCATGCATGTTCAATTCGTTTTGCAATCCAAGTACTCAACAATCACATCTTTGCATTAACATGAACATCCCTAATGTCCGTCTCGAATACATACCACTAAAACCAGAACATGGGCTTACATACATACCGCTGAAACGGCTTATAGTAAAAAAAAATGAGTTCCATATTGCTAACCTTGAACAACTAGGGTTGTTATTGTTATTGGGTAGTTTTGTGTTGCTAACCTTGAACAACATGTGTTTCCAGCATTTTGGGCCTTCTACTCGAGTGTTAGCAGATCCCATGCCTTGTGAGTCTTGAAGGTTTCCGGTCCTGAACCAACTATATTGTTTAGTGGGTTAAGGTGATTTGACCATTTAGTGTGTATTATCTTGTAATAAAATGACGATGTAAACTTTTTAAAGATTATTATTATTTAATTATTATCGCTTTTATGATAGTATAATTGGTATATTAGCCGATGCACTCTATTCAAGTGCAATCTCCTCTCAATTTAACAAGTCGATAATCTTAACATGATTAATATTAAAAAGGTGTGGTTTGCTTGTGGTTGCAATCTTAAACAATCAAATTAAGGTGTGCCTCCAAACTTTGTTACAAAGTGTAATTTCGGTATTGAAATGATCTAATAATCTATTTTAGTATTTAACCATAAAATTTTAAACTCCAAAATTGTTCAAATCAAGTAGATCTATAAGCACAAAAATCTTGAAAATAGACGGTCCAATTAATATAATGCAAAATTGACTATTTTTAATGGGTGTGATTTCTATAAAGTTGCAACATTAAACAATTCAATTAAGGTGCGCCTCCAAATTTTATCATAAACTATAATTTTGATATAAAATTTTTTTAGTATTATTTTAAAATCTATTTTCATATCTAATTATAAAATTTTAAACTCCAAAAATAGTTTAAATTAAATAGATTTATAAACCTATGCAAATCTTTAAAATGGACGGTCTAGATAATGTGTTACAAGATATATTATTTCTAAGACTCAACATCTTTCTTATTTATTTATATTCATATTTTGTTATAGAGATGATGTAATAGAGGGGTTTTCAACATTAAAACAACCTTTTTAGATGACTATTTTAAGGACATATTTAATTCTACACTTTAAGGTTGTAATTTTATAAAAAAAAAAAATTTTTTGTACTTTAATATTTATTATTTATTTTTTAATAATAATTTTATAAAATCTTTTCACTCGATCGAAAATATCCCCATTAATCACCGTTAAATTTGATACGGATCGTGTAAAGTCCCGCAAATAGCGATCCTTTGATCGTACACAACAGGTGGGGTTGGGTCTCCCAGGATCTTTACTCTTTAAACGATGATGATCAGCTAAACCATCTCCAGCTTCCACTCCCAATTCCCAGCTCATCCTACCAGATGAAGTTGCGAGCTCTCCAGGATTTGAGTCGAGCCCAAAACGTAATCTCACAAATCTCTCCAGTCGCCGCTTCCCTCTCCGACCCACTGCTTCACACACGCTGCTCCTCATGCTTCTCGCCATTATCGGAAAACCCTAGCTCTCGCTTTCCTTGCACGAATACTTGCAGAGGCTCTGTTCTCTATTGTTCTCTCCATTGCCTTGAATCCGACTCTTATTCCCATGTATCGAGTGGAGAATGCTTTTATTTCCACATTCTCAACTCTTCTTCTTTCTCAGAAGAAGATTCATGCGCTATACGCTTAGCTCTTCGGTTGCTTCACGCTTTTAGGGTTTCAGCGTTCCTGGATCACTCAAGAATTGGGGGTTTATTAACAAACTGCCATGAATTCCTGCAGAGACCTGTTGTTAATGAAGAGGATTTTGAATTGCGTGAGAATATTAGGAAATGGGCGAGGATTATGCGTTTCTTGAGAAGGGAAATGGTTCATGGAATCGAGGGTTATCAGAAAACTGAAGAGAGAGAAAACATTTTGGAAGAAGCAGTTTTGTGCTGTGTTATAACGAATGGGGTTCAGGTTGAGGTTGGGGGCTTGGTTCTTGGTAGTGCTGTTTATGGGCCTCTGTTTTCATGGTGTGATCACAGTTGTAGGCCCAATGCCTGTTACTGGTTTTCACTTAGCAAAGAATTGGACATTACGAATGACGATCAAATTATGGGGAATGAGTGTTTGCATTTGAAACCAGAGTCGGAGAATGCTGAGATAAGCAATGAATCCATGGTTAGTGTAAGTTTGTGACTTTTGATTTTTGGTTCTTTGGTTTTAGAAGTTTTTTAATGGTTGGATTTTTGTGATTCACTTGTGGAAAATAGCTCTGTTGGTCTGATGAAATATTTGGATTTAGTAGGTGCGAATGTGGAGTGGAGGTGGATGCAATTCAGGTGGATTTAAATTTCTCGATCTGTGCATACGTGTGTCTGTGTATGATCCTATGTGTCAACCAACTTATAGCATAGTATAGGCCAGAGAGCCGAGATTGAATAAATAAAAACGTCATGGCTGAGAACCATGGATTCAGTTTACCCCAAAATTTTCATGTGTATGCAACTTAGTTTTAATCTTTTGTGTTGAGCTCCTAGATCAGACCCCACATGTGTGCAAAATTTAGGGTCCATCAAATCCCTACTTTTTTCACAAAAATGATTTATTAACACAGCAATCTCGCCGCTTGTGTAATCCGGTCCATCCAGCCTGTGCTGTACTATAGGCTGGTCCATTCATGTGATATTTTTCCATACACACATATATATAGTTTGAAAATGAGATTTCCTGTAGTAATCCATACTGAAATTTATATTGGCTTTTTCTTTTGCTTTTTTGTGGGATGCAGGCCCATCAAAACAGGGTCCTATGATAACTTTGCGGACCATCAAACCCATTTTAAAAGACGAAGAGGTGCGCATTGCATACATTGATTTATTGCAACCCAAGGTACTAATTGAGCAAGCCTTCTTTATGCTTGTCACTTTTTCTGAATTTTTGAGGAAATCTTGAACTAGGTTCTTGAAATAGAAGCTGACCTTCTGGTTTACACTGCACTGGACCTCTATATGTTACATGATATGATGCAAGTGCATCCACTTTTTGTTCTCATTGGTGGATGGTGGAGATTAACTTTGATATGCTCCATCATGACTACAATTAATATATTGAGGTGGGATGTGCATACCATTTCAATGTTAGAATATTTGTGCTCATTGGGAAAATAAAAGATACCATGGCTTTGTTCCATATGCCTTACCAAAGCCGTATAAGCTATACTATACATGTTGCATGGGTTCCTCAACTAAGTTTGGGATTAGCTTTGCACTCATTCTATGTTCATAAATTATTCAACAGTTTGTAAAAGAAGTGCACATTACATAATCAGGACATGCAATTCACGCACCTTAAGGAAATTAGTGATATTGAAACACATTGGATTTGTGTCATAATTGTTGGAGGCGGTAGCAGGTTCGGTTCAGGGAACGCCGAACCACCATAGGGTGGAAGCCTCACTAAGGGTATGACCCTTGATAGAGCAGAACGGCGGACCAGGATTCATATAGCTCACCCCAAATGGTTAGGAAAAGGCTCTTGATGATGATGACGACAACGGATACATGGAAGCAAGATCTGATGCACTGGCGTCAAGGTTGTCTTGGAGGGATCTAAGCTCTACTATACATAAAACGAGATCAATTACTAGTATACTATCAGAATTACGATCGAGTCAATGCATTATCATACACCTTAACTTATTACCAATGTCATGGTTAAAGTACTCCAATTTACTACAATAATACAATTTAATGATATCATAAATTGGTTTACTATGATATTCCCAATAGTTTTTTAATACCACAATTCTGGTATACCGCGTTCTGATATGCACCACAATTTAACATATTCTAAATAAATGTATCTATAATACCAAGGAGAGGAGTAGTAGTAGTTCAATTAATGATATAGCTCATCTCCTTGGAGGGATCCTGCAAGCATGTAGGCGAAGATCCCATTTTATAGGGAGAAGATTCCCATTTCTCCAAACTCAGCTCTCTCTAAGATCCTTTAGAGGAACTGCAGGATCAAGTTCCTAACGTGGGACTGTGACCTTACCCCAAGGTGCCCGCAACTATGATTTAGGTTTTCCATGGGAAAGAAGGTGCTGAAAAAGGAGAAGACATGGAGCATCAAACTGAATAAAGAAACCTTTTATAATCAAAAGATCTGGGTTTCAGAGTCAATTGGGTTCACATGTGTCATATATGCTAGTTGCTTTTGCAGCTCTCAGGTATTATGACTCGAAATGATATTTAAGGAATTTCAGGGTCCACATCTACAATTTCATTGAAATTTGATGTTCAAATGCCCTAAAAGTTGCTAGATTGGGTTTCAAAACTAGGTAGATTTGGAGCTTAGTTTCGATGTTAACTGGAGAGTGATATTTAAAGGCTGGTAGGATATCTGCATCGTATGAAAAAAATGAAAATGCTAATATAGGTACATTATGCAACGATGCATACAGAAAACTTTCTTTCAACAATTAATGCATGTTGCGTATTTGTCTATCTAAAATTTTCAGGCTAAAAGGCATGCAGAGTTGTGGTTGAAATATAGGTTCATTTGTTGCTGTGACCGATGTACTGATCTGTCAAGTAACTATGTGGATTGCCTCTTGCAAGTAAGATCTCTTTAAACTAGATAAGAATATTTTGTTCATTTTGCTGCCTGTGCTTACACATATGATGCATCTATCTTGTTATACCTATCTGAGATGCAAATTTTCTGTTGTTTCCGTCAGCTGCTCTGGTTTTACTTAAGATGTTTTTATTTTAACTCAAATTGTGTATGATATTCTGTTGTGGTCTCTTGCTTTTCCCGTTTTTTGTTATAACGTGTATATTTCATACTTAAAGGGAAGAGGAACTTGACGAAGAAAAAATAAAAATAAGCTGTTAATTTAAGAGAACACTGTATAAATGTCCTATTATTGATTTGTTACAGTAATGGAGAGAAAGGGAAAAGATCGATGAAAAATAAAACTACACTAAAGGGGACAAGAACTTAGGAGTCAACATTACTACGGGATTCTAAAGGTGTGGCCCCATGGTGTTGTATATTTACTTCCAAGAATCTCTGAACTAAACACATCTCTTTTTCTTTTTTTTTCTTTTTTTTCTTTTCTTCTTTTGGATGGATAAGCAACAAGGGACAGAAACTTCCCATTATATCACTTATACGAACAGAAAATTCCCTTCTGACTAATCTTTCAACCAAGGTGAAAGTGAAACCTGGGTCCTTTATCCCAATCAACAAGGAAACTGTCCTGATGGTTTCCAACTCCAGGAAAACAGACATGTATGTAAGACAGCTTTCACATGCTTTCGTTTGTATGATGTTGTTACGATTATTGCTTCACTATGCTTGGCCGTAAACTATCATTGGATATGTTCTAGTTCGTGATTTATTGCATTATCATTCATAATGCTAGATAAATTGATCCGGCATTTCACTCTCAAATCTGATATATCTGTTGCAGTCATATGATTTCAAGGGAAGCATTGTACATGGGTTTCCAAGCATTTGTTGACTATGTTTTTGCCAATGTCTTTGACAATGATAGGTCAAACTTTGTTTAGCATTGGGTCCCTACAACTTAAAGAACTTGAATGGTGACTGAATTTGTGAGAAACATGTTTTATTGACTCATTGAGTCAACTTAATTAGGACTTTGCTTAACACTGTGTCATACTTAGTTTTTTACAAATGGAATTGGTCCTCAGCCAAAAATGGGATAGGGCGATATGAGAAAACTTCTGCTTAATTTGTGGAAGACACAACACAGTAGACATTTAGTATCAGCAACTATAACCGAAGATCCTAAACCTAGGAATTATGTGAACTCCAAAAGAGCTTACAAGGAAAAAGAACATCTGGGAAAACTTGCTGGATTTCACCATCTGCATTGGCTGTTCCCATTGTTGCTCAAGGTTCCAACATTGCAAGGAGAGGATTATTGAAGAGCATAGGAGTCTTACCCACCGTTATTTTTTCTTCTTTGTAGGAGCCTAATGCCCACTATGGTTCTACTGAGACAATCGGTGCAGATGATTTCTATGGGAAGCTGGCTGATTTCATGTATCAAACCATAGCTATATACTTGTCAAATGGGAAAGCTGAAGCTTGCTGCGAAAAACTCGAAAACATGCTTGCCAAATGTCAACGGCCAGGGCCTAGAGAGGCATCGCCGAGTGTGTTCAAGCTAAATCCCATCCACCGTCTCTCTCTAGATGCTTACATTACATTGGGGTCTGCCTATAGGGTTTGCGCCATTAACCAGTTCCCTCTCTCCTCAGAGAAGAACTTTCAGTTTAACAAAGCAGATGCAGCATACTCCTTATTACTTGCTGGTGCAGTCAATTACTTGTTTTATTTTGAGTCATCTTTGATTGCTAGTGCCGCCTCTTTTTGGGTGGGGGCTGGAGAGTCTTTATTGAGGCTTCTGAGAAATTCTGGGTGGGCAAGCTTGAACAAGACACACTGTCCCTCTCTCTCTATTGTTAGAGAGAAGTTAAACCTTGCATCCCTAAGCTGCAATTGCTTGCACTTGATGGGTTTTGAATGCCATGATTCCCAAAATTACATAGAGAGAAAAAGTTCGGTGCCTTTGGGCCAGCTCTCTGAGATATTGAATGGCTTTCTTCATTGTGCGTTGCTGCTTTCAAGGAGAGCCTGGTCATTTTTGAGCTTCGGCTGCTCTTACTTGGAAGCCATTAAGGATCCCATAGACTTCAGCTGGCTTGCTTCATCTGATGCCCTCCGTCATGGTGAGATTGGGTGTTGGAACTATACTATGACTGATTTGGGTCTTTGCTCAGAGAGGCAAAAGGGCTTAGGGGGCTGTGAATGTGAACCAGGGAGCTGTTTGGAGGAGGAGAAGCTCTCTCTCTACTTGTTGGCAGCTCATTGCTTGATTTATGGAAAATACCTTATGAGTATCTGCAATGGTTTCTGTGAAACACAGGTTAATTACATTTCTAACCAGCTTGATTTTACAGGCTAATTACATCTCTCTCTTGGCCTATCAAACAAATAAACATGTAAAGGCTAAAATCTCTGGACCACTTTTCTGATACATCAAAGAGCCGTCATCATTGTGAAACATAATCATGAGCCCTTCCCCTAAAATGAGTACCTTGATGTTACAATGTTCGATGGCAAAATTTTGCAATATTAAAGCTAATGTTGAAGAAAGCTGGCCTACTTGTAACTGTCCTTGAACCATGCATATGAATGGGGTTTAGAAAAACCGGTTTACCCAGTGCTCAGAAAAACCGGGTAAGTTTCACTGGGGAGGGTCGATCCAGTGTATAACAGTATTGGTCCACATTAAATTAGCGTCATATTTTTTATTTTATGAATATAAGTATTTATGTATTGCCATAAAACATATCCATTGTGGATATATTGCCAGATATTTTTGTAAAAAATAATTAATAGAACCAAATTGACTTGCATATAGAATGACGTTTTTCATTTCAATTTTCCAAACCTGATATATTGACCTAACATGCATGCACCCTATTTTGGCTAGTTAAATTTCAAGATGCAAAACATAAAATTAGATTTCAGAAAACCCCTTTTTTAATACCGTATTATTAAACTAACATTATTTAGTTTTACACCCACCTATCAAACAAAAAAAGCTGACCTTTTTTTATTAAAATGCCTTCATTTTAACCTATGTTTTTCCACTCTCTGTGAGCCGATTAGGCACAAAATGTGCCAGACCAGTACAACTTGAATATAGAAGCTGGTCAAGCACATTTTGTGTCGAACAGACAATTTCGATATAAGCCAACTTAGTGCCTTTGTGTGGAACAAAAAAATCATAGAACAAATTATACTCACCGATCTAAGAACATGATCTACAGTCCTTGTTGATGGAGCGTTTTTTCTTAAATAAAACTACTGCAACAATGTAGTGGGAATCACAAGTCTCACGAAGGCGGAGTGATACTTGACCCTAGCTGAACCTATAGTTGGGCGGAGCTGCAACAATGGAGGGTGGATTTGTGCCCGTTCTTAACGGGCATGGTGAAGAAATGGGGTAGAGAGAGAGAAGATCACATCGTCTTCAACGGTCGGCGGCGTTTTTGAGATTAAAACAGGTTTTCCCAAAAACTCGATTTTGCTCATTCCTCCTACTTATTATTGGAATGGCGACATCCTCGTTTTATGCGCTTTTGAGGTTTACCAAAACCTAGTTTTGATGACAAAATGTAGACGAAAACAACTTGATTTTGTCAAAACCTGGATATTCAAAACTTGGTTTTGTGTATGCTCGTTCCCAAATGGGGGCAATAAGATAAGTTTTGAAGGACAAATAATGGCGTGTGAGAGGTTCCATTGGTTATTTGCACGGTGAACCCCATTCAATGGAGGAGAGAGAGAACAAAGGGGCAATAAGGTCAAAAATAGAAGGGTGCGGTTTGTATAGAGTCGAGGCTCTAAAAAATCAAAGTAAAGCGCACCTTCAAATAGTATCGAGAAAAATGGTTTCAATATTGGAAATCTTTTTGATAGCCCTAAAATATATTTTTATCTTTAATTATAAAATTTAATGTTTAAAAAACAGTGTAGATCGAGCAGATCTATGAAAACCTTGAAAATGGACTGTCAAAACATGTAATGCACTATTTTCAAAACTTGAAATCTATTTTGCATCTTGATGTCGAGATGATCAATTTGAAGATATTTGGGCACCAATTGAACCTCTTATTGTGGAAATTTTTGGAAATTGTCGAGATGATCAATTTGAAGATATTTGGGCACCAATAGAATCTCTTTTTGTGGAAATTTTTGAGATAAGCTCTAATTTGATTGTTTAGAGCTTCGGCTTTATATAAACTTTTTTTAAAATAGAAAGGATGACAAGTTCCCAGTATAAGAGGCTTTGGGGTTTTTCTTGGAGTGTCCAAAACTAATAAATAATATATAAAATGCTTATAACATTATATATTACAAATAGGTAGGCTCTAATTTAATTGTTTAGAACATTATATAAAATGCTTATAACATTATATATTACAAATAGGTAGAGCCTAGGCTCTGTATAAACTTTTTCCTATTAATAAATAATTCCGCACCTTATTAATAAATAGAGTTAGTAAGTTGATGAATAATAATATGTTGGCAAACCAAAACTTTCAGTAATAAATCTGTTTTAGTCCAAAAATTTGGGACAAAAAATCGGGGCAAAAATACGGATTGCCAATATATTTTGGACTTGGCTCAATGAAATTGAGTAAAAAAATAGGATATGTAAATATGACAACTTCAAATTATAATTTACATTTATTGTAAGGATACAATAAAAACATTGAAATATAATTTTATGTCGCTGATTGGTATCATTTGTATCCCACTTGACAATGTTTTTTTTTTTGTTTAAATTTATTATTCAACAAAAAGGCTTCCTCCATTGCACGATATGAAACATACAATGATTTTATTGGGAGTGAACAGTGAAACAACAACAACAACACTAAACGCAATAATTACATTAACCATTAAAATATTTGTACCCCAAAGTATAAGATTACCTGTAAAAAAAAAAAATCAAAGACCCCAATATAGGATTGCAGTTAGCAAAACTATAAAAACTAAATGCAAATTATTTTGTTATATATACCAACAAAATAACAAAAAAATTTAGAAAGGGTGAAATTAATCAAGCATTGTATACGGAGAGAAAGTAATGGAAGAGTCGCTTATATTGAGCAATATGTGTAAGCAAAATCAAATATTCGAACGCCTTTAATTGCCAGCTTATACAGCTAAAAATAACTAACAGCCAACGAGCAACAATACAACCGCGTTCTAGAGAGAGAATGACTTGCAGCAACAAAAAGCAGTACAACGAGATGACCCAAGATCTTCAACACCAAAAAAGAAACGCATGCAGAAGTTTCTATTTCTCTCTACACATTAAACAAATTTTTTCCATTCACCAAATAGAACCCAATACAATAGACCTACGTCCCTCTCGTAATACCTTCTAAAACGATTTCTAAACCTTTTTCTTTCTAAAGATTTCCTTTTTGAAAAATGACGAATAGATAACTTTCTACCCACCTTAACTTTAAAAGATAGACCTTGTTATTCCTCTTATCCTTCCTAAAAGATAAGCCTCCCTAACAATAACGAAACTCTTATCACTACCTCTTCTTCCATACCCAATTTGCTCGCTCAAAATGATCTAGCCTGATCATTTGGAACCTCTAAAAATAAAAATAAATAAATATATATATATATAGAAAAAGGTTTCTGTGAGCCAATGGGTTCACAAGAAAAAATGAGTCTCATGGTCCAGATTGAATCTGGGCCGATCTAACAATCACAGATGCCCGATAGTGTTTGAATTTTAATTTTATTTTTTACAAATCCAAATAACTTGAAATTTTATATTTATGTTGATAAAAAATAGGTGAATATTTAAAAAATATTAAAAAAATTATTTATATAAAAAATATTTATATTAAAAAATAACCAAAATACCCCCATAAATTTTTGGGGGTATTTTGATCATTTTTAATTTCACAGATTATTTTTTTTATATTTTTATTAGGTGCACCTTGATGAAGTTTCTATTTCCCTCTACAATTTAAACAAAATTTTTCCATTCACCAAATAAAACCCAATACAATACATACATCCTTCTAATAATAACTTCTAAAACTATTTCTAACCATTCACCAAATAAAACCCAATACAATAGACATACATCCATCTAATAATAACTTCTAAAACTATTTCTAAACCTTTTTTTTTCTAAAGATTTCATTTGTGAGAGAAAAAACGTACTCTTTTTTTCTTTGAGCCTTAACCTTAAAAGATAGACCTTGTTATTCCTCTTATCCTTCCTAAAAGATAAGGCTCCCTAACAATAATTAGAACTTTTATGATTTTTAAGGGCTAGTTTGGATGCATTCAAAATTGAAATATTTTTGGATTACATTCCAAAATCTTGTGAAACTGATTTTGACTATTTGAATAACTACACGATTTTGCCAAATTTTTAAATTGGTAGAAAAAAAATCAAAGGACGGGAAGATTCCGGCCACTAATTAGCCAGAAAAAGTGAAAGAAGCTGGAATCCGGCGATCAATCGCTATGAGGCAGTTTGCTGAATCTTGTGACAGACAAACAGAAAGGGGTTTCTCTATATTTGATACAATGAGAGGGGATACTCTTTCCACCATTTTCATCGATTCTATCTATTGCTTTATGATTCAATTCATTTTTTCTTTAATATGTAGCTCTAGGTGTTTTTTCGATGCTTATGTTTCTCCGTCTTGTTTTTTTTTGTGCATCTGTGTGGCTTTTGTGATACTCTGGTTCACCTTGATTCTTCCATTAGCGTATGTTTAAGGGTTTTCTCTCTGTAACACACATTTCCAGGGTTTACTCTGTATACAAACTGCCCTGGTTTATCATGGTGGGTTTTGAACGGTTAATTCGGAAATGGGGCACACAGAGAGAAAACGGTTCTTCGGATGAATGATCCCGATTTTAGTTCTTTAGCTAGTGCACGGCTGAGATTCCGTGAGGGACTTTGGTTCTTGAAAGTGGACTCGGCTCCATGTTGCAGGTTCTCTCTCTCATGATCTGTGAATTCGGCGATTTTGTGCCTGAAAATGGCGAGATTTGGCCGAAAGTTATGATAACGATTGGGTCCTTTTCTGGTCCGGCAAAGTGGCGAAGATGGGGCATGGTTGATCGGGAAATGTCTAAATATCAGGAACCAAGATGGGGTCGAGGGTTTTTTTTGACAAATCAATGAAATTAGACATTTATCAACATAATAAATTAAGACAATGATGTTTTTCAATTGAAGTTGAAAAACTTGTATTTTTTTTTGCTGTAATTTTTTTTTTTTTGACATCCAAACTGGCCCTAAACAATGGAAAAAATTCATTTACAAACTTGTGCTGATTGCATCCTTAAACAAAATCGACCAAAAAAAAATAAAGATTGGCTAGAAAGAAAAAAAATAAGAAAATAAAATTGCCATAATTTCTTGGGATTACATTTTCTCACTAATTCTTCATCTTCCATACCCCATTTGCTCGCTCAAAATGATCTAGCCTGAACATTTGGAACCTCTAAAAATCGTTATTCTTCATGGAACACTACCTATTATTTTTGGGATATATTGTTGTCTTGGGAGAACATTTTTTCCCCAAATACGTTGGTTGTCTCTTTATTTTTTAATACAAGTTTTAAAGAAACATGAGGGAAATTAATATGGAACTTTTTTTTGAATCAAGATTTTTGAAGATTTATCCAAGTTTTCATGTGCTTATCACAAAATTAATATTCAAAGATATCAAATTAATTAAGAGAATGGAAGCATCAAGAAAGTTACATGGACAATTTCTTTAAATTCTTTCGAAAGAGGCAAAAACGCATTCATCTCGGTGTATTGAAAAAGATGAAATTACGTGATCCTAATAAAAAGAAATTATTATCTATTAAAATTACAGTTTTTCAAATACCAAATTACAAAAAATACCAAGATTTTTTTATTTTCTTATAAAAATTTTTGAATGTTAAAATCTATTTTCTCTCAACGATTTTTTTCCTCAATAAGAAGGGGATTTACAAGTAGAGGAGGTGCAAGATTAATGAAAACTCTGCAAATATCTCCCTCAACAAGATAGGGATTTACAAGTAGAAGTCATGTGTTTAACTTTGCAGGGAGAGAAAAGGCAAACATCGTAGAAAATGGTGAACAAAATTGGGTTTTATGAAAAAAGACTGGTTGTATTGAGGTTTCCATAGATGGAAGAGTAAGCATTTTAGCTACTCTTTGTTTAAGCCACAATGCTCACTACAACTGTAACAATGGAAACTTAAACCCCCATAAACTCTTCTAACTATGGTCCGTTGGAGTTGAAGAGAGCTATGAAATTCTAAAAAACTGAAAACCTAGAAATTCTCCCAATGGGGCATGTCATTAGTACTTTAATAAGAGATTTGAAACCCTAAAATCTTTCTGTCAAAGATCCACCATACAAAGAGAGCATTGAGGCGACAACTTTGTAGTAAAGAAATTCAATAATGTAGACCACGGCAAAAATGCCAGAACGAGAAAGAGCAAACTGCCGGCCATAGATGGCTTTATCGAAGCTCAAAACAATTTTCTTACAATGCTTTGATGGTAAAATTGTGAAGCCCTCAAGCTTCAATTCTTCTCAAGACTTTGCTTTTAGAAACCCCCTAACACATCGAGACACAAGATACCTGGAAACAGTAGCTTGTTTCTCCCATTCATGTAGCAAGTCAGAATGCAATATTTTTTACGCCATTATAGAGAGAGAAAGAGGAACTCTCAAGACATTGGTTCTAGAGAGAGAAAGACGAGCTATTCAAACACTGGTTTTAGATAGAGAAATAGGACCTCTCAAGACACTGGTTCGAGAGAGCAGAGAGAAAGATGAGCTCTCTCACTAGCAGTAGTTCAGAGAGAGAGAGAGAGTAGATTTCAAGTTGAAGTAGAGGGAGAGAGTAGATTTGGAGTTTTTGAGGTTTCACGGCGTGAATTATTGGGTCACAAGGTAGGATTTGTACAGGGTTAGTGAGCCGCACTTTCATAAATAAAAATTTTGACTTGAATTTTTTTTACGGTAACTTTTGGGATTTGTACAGGGTTAGTGAGCCGCACTTTCATAAATAAAAATTCTGACTTGAATTTTTTTTTCGGTAACTTTTGCCTTCATATTAATGGTTTTTTTATTTCAATTTAAAAATCTAATAAAATCTTCTTGTTGTCCAAACAGTTCAAATTTGTTTTACAAGATTTTTGGATTGCAATCCAAAAATATTACAATTTTAAGTGTAGCACTAAAAGATTTAAAAAATCAGCGTTTTTTTTGCAGAAGTCATATACCTACGAACCCCATCGATACAAATTTATGAACAACGATGAACAGTATGTGAGTATATATATGGAAAATTGTTTCATGAGTCCATCCATATGGACGTTATCTAAAAGTATATTGTCCATGAATATAACAAGGATAGTGTATAAAAGAATATTAAAATATTATATTTTTAATTTTAAAAGTTTATTTTTCTTTGTATATTTATGATCATATTGGCCAAGATGATAAATCTAAAAAAAACATTAGAAAAAAAAATCATCCAAATTGAATTTTAATGGGGAGCTGCATATGTACATATGAGTTGGCCAACTCATAGTAACCCCATCAGATATATATTTAGGAAAATTGTTTCATGCGGGTTGGACCGCATTTCTACATATGCGGTCTTGAAAGTGTGAAGCACCCATCGTAAAGAAGGATGCAAGTAGGTGTTCCATCTAAAAATAGTGGAAGGTCCAAATGTTTTCTTACTAGAATTATTATTTTAAATTTTTAAAATTTAGTTATTTTTTTCGTATTCACGATCTCCATGTTAGAGATTACATGTCCTTAAAAATTAATTCTTAAAAGAAAAAAAGTTTATATAGGGTTGCAATCATAAAATGTAGAATTTCATATGCACCTCAAAAATCCATCAAAAAAGGTTGTTTTAACGTTGAAAAATCCTTTAAATGATCTTGACATCGAGATGTAAGAATATGAAAAAAAAAAAAGATTTTGAATCCCAAAAATAGCGCGTCTTGCAACACATTATCTAAACCGTCTATTTTCAAGATTTTCATATGTTTATAGATTTACTTGATTTTAGTATTTTTTTTAAGTTTAAAATTTTATAATTAGTTATGAAAATAGATTTTCAGATAATCCAAAAAAAATTTAATACCAAAATTACATATTATGATAAAAATTAGAGTGAAAGGTTGCAACCTTATAGAAACCACACCTTAATTAAAATCCATCTCAAAAATAGATTTATTAAGAGGCTTGCATTTCTATGTATGTCGGCTTGACCACATAGAAACGGGGTACATATATTTATCGGGCAATGATTTCATGCAACAGTTGTATAGTAATATGATGCAACAACCTTAAAAAATTATCTTATGGCCATTTGTTTGATCCAAATTTTGAAATATACACTTTTTTCATTCTAATGAACAATAACAAAAAATGAAAATTTGAAAACATAACCTAGAAAATATTTTTTTAGCCCAATTAACATAGGCCGTTCATTTTGGTGAGATGCTTAGATTTAGGCCTTAGAAGGATTTTTTTATTTCTAATTTTTTTGGATGGTTTTATTATCATTAGATGAACGATGTTAAAAAAGAAAAACAATGATTTTGAGTTTATAAAGGCTAAGATCTTGAAATTCACAAAATGAATGGCTTAGATTCGTTTTTGGAGGCGACTCATTTTGATCATATCTAAGGTTCAAATTGAACTTTTTTTTTAAAGGGGGTTTGATTATTGAGATAAAAAAATTGTGTGATCAAAATTTAGGGTCATACAAATGCAACAAATATGATTTTCTAAAAATGTCGTTGCATTATACTATGACACAACCGTTGCATTAGATCATTGCTCATATTTGTTATCGAGAACGATAAACTTTTGGCAAAAAAAACAAAAATGTTTTCCCCATAAGTGTCTATCTCCAAGTCATAGATGTTTTGCCAGACGCGTAGCCGTTTGAGATTTGAATGAATCTACAATTCGACAACTACAAGAACAAGGAATAACCTCGTACCCCACGGCGCCTCACGCCATGCCCCAATTAACAAACTCTCCACCACGTTAACTAACAAAATTGGCTCAACATTTTCCTCCAACTCCTCATCCATCCGGTTAAAATATCAAGGTGAATCCGTTTATCAAGCCCGACAAGATAAAGAGAAAATTATTAAAAACCTTAGACTCAAATTTCTATTCCAATTATTTTTTTATCACAATATTTACCCAACTAATTTTTTTAGCATAATTTTTACTTTAAAACTAATTTTTATAGCAAAATCCCAAGTAAAAAAAATTTATAATTATAAGGATGAAAATCCCCTTTTCTCTACACGAAGGCATCATGTTATCGGACGGATAAGTGTATCCATAATATAACCGACTGCGTTGGAAAAATGCCGTTGAAAAAGTGCCCGACTGTGCAGAAGACTTGCTAGACCAAAAAAAAAAATTGTGCACACCGCTTCGAAAAAGTGCCAAACCGGTGAGTGCATATAGAAACACATGGACGTAATATGTCGGACCGCAAAGAATATGTATTCTACCTTATGGAGAAAGTCTCGAACGTGACTTACGTCTCCGTGAGTTCATCCAAAAAATGCATTTAAGAGAGTGAACTATACTAACATAAAGATATTTTGATCGATTTTTTTTTTTATTAAATAAATTTTATTAAAAAAAATATTTTGATCAACTTATTTTTTTTACTAAACAAACCCTATAAAAAAGCAACGGTCACAATAGTTGTGGGTATCTGCAAAGTCCCATTTGGAAGGTATGTGTGATTTTCCCTAAAATAAATAACCCGCCCGCAACACGATCAAATCTCTTATCCTCTCTCTCTCTCTCTCTCTCTTTGCGGTTGGTGAAATGGCGGAAGCGTGGTTGACCTTTCTCTGTGTCTCTCTCTCTGTTGCCGTAAGCTTCATCTTCTTCTTTCTCAGACCAAAAGCGAAGAAAACCCTACCTCCAGGCCCTCCATCACTTCCCATCATCGGCAACCACCTCCTCCTCCGTGGATCAGGCATCGACATCGAGCTCGCCCTCCGTAAGCTTCCGAAGAAATACGGACCTGTGTTTACCCTCCGCCTCGGCGGCGGCCTGTCCATCTTCGTGGCGACACGCGCAGTTGCCCACCAGGCCCTGGTCCAGCAGGGGGCCAAGTTCGCGGACCGGCCCCCTGCCCCCCCTGTCTCTGCCGTCTTCACCAGCCAGCAGCACAACATCAGCGCCGCCCCTTATGGCCCTCTCTGGCGCGTGCTCCGCCGCAACCTCATGTCTGAGACCCTCATCCCCGCTCGTGTCAAGGCCTTTGCCCCGGCTCGCCAGTGGGCCGTCCAAACCCTCATAGAAGCACTCCATGAGAGGGCTCGCGAGGGCCCTGTGTGTGTGATTGAGGCAATGCGTCTTGCTGTGTTCTCGCTGTTGTTGTCCATGTGCTTTGGCGAGAGGTTTGGCGACGAGGTGGTGAAGAAGGCGGAGGCTGCACAGCGGAGGCTGCTACTCAGCTTCTCGAAGTTCACTGTTTTCGCCCTTTTCCCCAGGATAGGGAAATTCATCTTCAGGAAACTATGGCAGGAGGTGCACGATATTAAACACCAGCAAGAGGAAGTACTATTGCCTCTAATTCGTGGGGCCGCAGAGAGGCAGACGGAGTTCTTCTCGTATGCAGACTCGTTAGCAGTACTGGAGCTTCCAGACGGCCGGAAGCTGAGCGAGGGGGAGATGTTAAGCCTGTGCTCAGAGTTCCTCAACGGCGGAACAGACACCACAAGCACCACCTTGCAATGGGTGATGGCCAACTTAGTTAAACACCCGGACGTGCAGGCCAAGGTTTACGAGGAAATCGAGAAGGAAGGTGGGGTTGATGAGGAGAAGCTGCAGAGGATGCCATACCTGAAGGCGGTGGTTACGGAGACGCTCCGGCTGCACCCACCCGGGCACTTTGTGCTGCAGCATACGGTCACAGAGGATTCGACATTGGAGGGTTTCGTGATACCCAAGGGGGCGGGCGTGAATTTTATGGTGAAGGAGATGGGGGTGGATCCAGAGGCATGGGAGGAGCCATTGGAGTTCAGGCCTGAGAGGTTTCTGGGAGGTTTGGAGGTGGATTTGACAGGAAGCAGGGAGATAAAAATGATGCCATTTGGGGTTGGGAGGAGGATTTGTCCAGGAATGGCGTTAGCCATGATGCACCTCCAATATTTTGTGGGGCATCTGGTCAAGGAGTTTGAATGGAAGAGTGTTGATGGAGAGGAGGTGGATTTGTCTGAGAAGGCAGAGTTCACAGTAGTCATGAGAAACCCACTCAAACCACTTCTCATCCCAAGACCAACTTCAACTCACACCAAACAAAACTAACCGACCTAAAACCACATCTGCATCTATCTTGTTATGCTTTTCTCAGATGCAAATTTATTTTCTCTTGTTTTGTTTCGCTTCAACTGTTTTTATTTTAACTCAAATTATGTGCTGTGGTCTCTTGCTTTTTCCCCTTTTTTTTCTTATAAAGCGTATATATTTCATACGAACTTGACACAGAAAAAATAAAAATAACCTGTTAATTTAAATGAACACTGTATAAATGTCCTATTATTGATTTGTTACAGACTTACAGTAATGGAGAACAAGGGAAGAGATTGATGAAAAATAAAACTACACTAAACTGGACAAGAACTTAGGAGTCCACATTACTACGGGATTCTAAAGGTGTGTTGTCGTATACTTATTTCCAAGAATCTCTGAACTAAACGCAACTCTTTTTCTTTTCTTTTTTTTTTGGATGGATAAGCAACACGGGATGGAAACTTCCCATTATATCACTTATACAGACAGAGAATTCCCTTCTCACTTGTCTTTCAACCAAGTTGAAAGTGAAACATGGGTCCTTTATCCCAATCAACAAGGAAAGTGTCTTGTTGGTTTCCAACTCCAAGGAAAGCAGCTTTCACATTCTTGTGCTTGGTTGTAAATTATAATTTTAAAATCATATTATCCTAAAATAAACATAATTAAATTCATTTGGTAGAATAAATATCCATATGGTCTAGGAATAAATAATCTGGGGCACTCCATTATATCAAATGTTTCATTACACGCACTAATAAGGCCTTTAATGGCCACACTCACCCAACATGAAGCTCTCTACAATATGGTTCTTAATCATGAGAAGCAGTTAGAACAAATGAAAATAATAAGGCCTTTAATGGCCACACTCACCCAACATGAAGCTCTCTACAACATGGTTCTTAATCATGAGAAGCAGTTAGAACAAATGAAAATAATAAGGCCTTTAATGGCCACACTCACCCAACATGAAACTCTCTACAACATGGTTCTTAATCATGAGAAGCAGTTAGAACAAATGAAAATAATAAGGCCTTTAATGGCCACACTCACCCAACATGAAGCTCTCTACAACATGGTTCTTAATCATGAGAAGCAGTTAGAACAAATGAAAATAATAAGGCCTTTAATGGCCACACTCACCCAACATGAAGCTCTCTACAACATGGTTCTTAATCATGAGAAGCAGTTAGAACAAATGAAAATATTGGATATGCTATCTTTACTGCCTGTAGCCACAACCGCGGTCGTGAGAATCGAGCTTGTGGTCATGGTATGAGAAGGTAGAGCTTGATGTCATTGTGAAGAGTCTCAGGTTTCTCTACAGAGACTAGGTGTCCATTATTCATATGAATGTACAGACTTGTCTTTTATAGACAAATTACAAAAACTAAATCATAGATACCTAAACCATATCTAATATTATAATAAAATACGGATACTCTATCAACCCTTCCCATAAATACTGATGGCAATATATACTTTTTATGTTAACCCGATACACAATATACATTTTCCTTGTCACACTTCCCGTCAAATTCAAGATGCGAGAGAAAGCGGTTGGAGTTTGAACACCAATTGCAGAAACGAAAAAGCAGCGGCAAATCAATAAGCCTCAAGAAAAGATAGGTTCAGGAACTCTTGGAACATATCAAATAGATCAAAGAGTCGAAACGCGACTCGGCATAAAGACAGATCAGAGAGTCAAAATACGAGTCAGTAGAGAGACAAAACAGATAGTCGAAACACGACCCGACAGAAAGGATAGATTAGAATCAAAACATGACTCAGCAGAGAGGACAGATCAGAGAGTTGAAACACAACTCGACAGAAGTTGTACCGACTGGGTGAGCAACAGACTTGTCTTGAAAATTGGCGCCAATACAAGGAACGAGAAATGGACACAGCTAAGATGAACCTCACTCTGATACTATGTGAAAAGTCTCAGGTTTCTTTGATTATTCATAGGAATATACCGATTGTCTTTTATAAACAAATTACAAATGACAATAATAGAAACTAAATCATAGATTCCTAAACCAATCTTATAATAAAGTACATATACTTTATTAACCCTTCTTATAAATTCTGATCGCAATATATACTTTCTATATTAACCCGATACACAATATACATATTCCTTTCACATTCATGAGAAACCTTTCACATCCATGAGAAACCCACTCAAAGCCTTTCTCATCCCAAGGGCAAGTTCAATTGACATCAAAGAAACCTGACCTCAAAGATTATATTTTCACGACATTCAAATATTAAATTTTTACCATCTCTAGAAATTTTGAGAAGTATTGATTTTAGTGAGAGAAAGTATGTAAAGTGTCTCGAAATGTATATCAGGATGTTGTTTAGCTGGAAATCAGTGGACATTTTATAGGATATGAGTAGACGGAAACCCGAAACTGGAATCATGGTAATATGAGAAGAAAGAAACCCGAGTTCGAATCATGGACGACTTTTTACGAGTGATTTAAAAATTGGTGACCTGATTCGAAATCAGACGAATCAGATCGGGAATCGTCATGACCTTCCCGAATCCGGTAAAAAAACCAGGATTCGGCGGATTCAGAATAGTAGACTTGCCAATTTTTTTGTGGAATCGCAGATTCCTGTGATTCTTCACTGAGTCCGATCGATTCTTTATTGATTATGACCGATTAGATTCTTCACCGAGTCAAGCGATGAAAAAAAGATGAACATTTTTTTCTTGAATTATTTTTAAAAAATTTGGGATAAAATTTATTGATTCTCCCGATTCTTTCGATCCGATCCACCGATTCCTCCAATCTGACACGGGTATAGGTGTGACCTATTCGAGTCACGGATTCATTTTTTTTAAATACTACTTCTTACAATTAGCATTGCAGAAAAAAAAGGTACAAATATAAAGGCAATGGTCAAGCAGTTTGAGGTTGGAATCTTCGGACCGTTGTGTTTTTTAACAACAAAATATTGGTCTGATGTTTGAATCCTCATACCGATCTTTTCATTTAGTTAAAAAAAAGTTAAGGTTTGAGTATTGGGATCTTGGACTTGTCTCATTTTGTTATGAAAAAAAAACTGCGGTCCGAAAATTGGAACCTCATAACACTTGTTATTATTTGAAAAAAAGTGTGTCCGAGAATTTGAACCTCGGACCGCTCTCTCAACACATTTAAACAACAGAACCCTATTTTGTTTTCATTTTCTCTTTCTTTCTCAACCCCCACTCTCTCTCTCTCTCTCTCTCAAAGCCCTATTTTGATACAATATATATTTATTTCTCGACCACTTTCTCGCTCCAAAACGAAACTGAAATCAGGCAAAACGTTATCAAATACAAAATCAAGTTGTAAAGTCCACCAAATAAAGAAATGAGTTATGTACAATTGCAACCAAAGCTTAAAGCTCTCCATCTAATTTCATACAAAATCTAAGTCGTGGTCATTTCTGATAATCTTAGTGAACTTCAATACCGTCGGAGAATGCCATCTTCAGACCGCTTTAAGTTAATCTGTAAACTTGGTGTCGGTCCAAGAATGCCGACTTAAAATAAAACCGCATATTGACAGACCTTTAGGATAATTATCGGCTAAAAACGGAGCATCCCATATTTTCCGTACTTTTTTAAGCTCCCTACATATTTTTTTCTAATAAAAATAAGGCGCACCTCCAAACTTTTTCATAAGCAAGCTATTTTGAGGCCCAATATTTTTATGATGGTGTGAGAATCTATATTTATCTTTAATTATAAAATTTAAACCCAAAAAGTAATTCAAATCAAGCAGATTCATAAACACATGAAAATTTTGAAATGAACAGTACATATAATGTGTTGCAAAATATTCTACGTTTCAGTCTTGAAATTTTTGTTTTTCTCCACATTCATACATCTCAATATCGAGATGATCAATCAGATGTTTTTCCAACATCAGAACAGCCATTTTCAAGAGATTTTTAAGATGCATTTTAATTCTATACTTTAAGGTGTCAACCTTATACAAACGTTTTTCATTCTATAGACCGGCTTTGGTCTTTGAGGCAAAATGTTGGGAACTCAAACAACAAATACTCATAGAATTAGTGTAGCAAATAATGAGAATGTTGAGATGGATGAGAGGTAAGACAAGAAGAAATAGAATTCAAAAAGGAATATATTAGGGGAAATTTATGTGTGGTACCAATAAGCAATAAGATGAAAGAGAGTAGACTTAGGTGCTGACCATATTTGGCATAGACCCAGTATAATACTTGTTAGGAGATGTGAGTTGGTTCAAGTAGAAGGCTCAAAAAAGGCGAGGGATGGAACCAAATAGACAAGGTCGGACGTAATGAGAAAATATAAAAGGATTTATGGCCTCACTTAACATATGGCTTTTAATAAAACAAAATGGTAGATCAAGATTTATATAACCAACCTCAATAAGTACTAAAAAAGCTTTGACGTGATGATATTTTTGTTGCGAAATTGATAGCTTTATATAGTGCATAGTTATGCCATTTGCAAATACTTTGCCGTCATTTTCATCGGTAGGAATAAATTAATCCACCACAATTCTATGGGACAGCTATACGGTAGGAATCAATTAATCCACCACAATTCTATGGGATAGCTATAAATACATGAGATGTTATACTTCAATATTGTTTCTAAATAATAACGTGGCGCTATTTCATTCCTTCAGTCTCTTATTTCTCATTTCATGTTCAATGTCTAGTTGCGATCTCTACCGCTTATGATATTCAAATTTCAAATCAATATCCATTTTCAGTACTTTCTAATTGAGTCATTTTTAAGAATTTACTCTGGACTTAGACCTGGTTAGAAAAAATCGAATCAGAGCACTTAACTGGACATGAGCCCGGAAGAGGTTCAACTGGCCTAACCAATTAACCGGCCAGTTCAACCATTCTAACTGAGCAAATCGGCGGTAAAAAAGGTGTAAAAAAATATAAAAACATCTAATAAAATATAAAAAGTATATTTAAAGAATGATTCAACAAAGCACATCCAATTGAAGTTGAAAATTGATGAAAAAAAATGGATTTTAAAGAATAGATTCATGCCCAGGGGTGTTTCTGAAATTTTTTTAAAAATGGAAAAATGTAAAAATAAATTTTAATGGCCAAAACAATTTCTAATATTTTCCATAATGATGAAAAACATTTTAAAAAAACATTACAAAC